CATGACATTTCGATCTGGTCAACATTTACAATAGTAAAATCTCATAATAATATTTGAAATGAATTTCTTGCTCATTGCTAAAGAAAATATAACAATACTGATCATATGTTCGATTTTGTAATATTGCTGCGGATAATGAATGAAGATTCATCCTTAACCTCTTGGTATTCATAAATTCATGAGCGATAATTAAAAGATCATTTTATAGATTAATTAATTACTATATTTGATCACCGTTTAGATAATTACAGATAGAATTGTCAAAATGAATTGGTATTAGCAATTAATGCGATGATTACTGTAAGAATGTTAGCTATTTGTAATTCAACAAGACATGATTACATTGATGATGTGGCGATGAAATGTCTTAGAATAGGAAGAAAATGGATTGATTTCATTTCGAAAAGAGTGTGAGTGTGCATATTCTTGTGGTATTCATCCAATTAGGATATTCACAGCCCCAGATAATGTAATATGACGAATAACTAATCGATATTTTGTCTTTTTAATATCATGTAGAATATTTTTGAATTATTAAAATTAACTTTTTCATTATCGGTTTTCGAAATATGATTTCCATTTCGTATATGTGATCGAATATGAAATTCATATGTACCTTCAATACAATTTGTATCACTTGATGGAATAATACTTAATATTGCTTGAAACTTCTATTAAACAAAAAATTAATGAATTAAAAAACGAAAAAAGAATATTTAATTTATCAGTAATAAAAACTTAATATGATTGTTGTTTATCTCAATTTTAATAGTAAAAATTGCAACATCAATCATTTGTTATTCTTTTATTTCTAATCTATACATTTGTCTATCATTTATGACTATAAATCAGTTATCTTCCTTGGCATGTTTTTTCCTTATAACTTGACAATTTTCTTTACTTAATGTACAACTTAATGTTGATAATTAGCCTTTTAATGATTTATATGTTTCACATTCAAATACCCATTGTTTTTCAATAATAGTTATAGTTTCATCTAATGGACGAATAAATTCATAAGGTAATTCTTCATTAGTTACTTTTTCGAATATTTTTTTTTCTGATCGACAAATGCAATAATAAATAACTGCATCATCTAATTCAAGACTA